ATGCAACTTCGAATATGATTTTCTAAGCCAAAACAATGCACCTTCGAATATGATTTTCTAAGCCAAAACAATGCAACTCCATCATACTCGTAACTCTGAATGAATGGAATAAGAGTGGAATAAGAGAGAGATCGCATTGAATTTCAAAGAGATTCATAAAGACTCATTTTCAATAGGTCAAGTCTCAAATTGAAATTCTATCTCTTTCCACACGAGCAGCAGCTACTTCAAGACTCCACTTCTTGGAAAGTACCATTTACTTTTTTGGGGTGAAGAAAAAAGGGCGTCTACTCGCACTACGAATTCCGAAATGAATCTGACTGCAGTTGCGGCCAGAAACCCACAGAGTTTTGTGGAAAAGGTTCTAGTGCGAGTATGCCCTTAGTATTGCTAATAACACCAGAAACAAACACCAAAAGACCAGACTGTCATTCAGCCCTTCGTCAAAAAAAATACAAAATGATAAACTCAGGACCGAGCCCTTGTAATCGTTAATCAACAGAGACTCGAAAGATACACAGCTAGTCTCTACCGTCTTCCCCCGAATAGAACGCCCTACTATTATCGCTGTACGCAGACCAAAAGTTGCACCACATGCATGCAGCTACAATGACCGACCACACACATCAGGGGCAAGGTCCCACTAGCAAAGAGAATTGCATTAAGCGCCTGAATCTGGATGTGATTTAACTAGAGATGCGGCAGATCAATCGCAATCGTCTGCACCTCTCCACAAACACGTCCAGATTCACGCGCTAAATCCAATTCTCTTTGTTAGTGGGGCATTATATACATGCACGACGCACCAAGGACAGCAATTGCAGCACTCCGAGTACGGAATTTAGACCAAGTACATCGCATCTCGGTCAGTTGTAGCACAAACACCGAAAACTGTACGAACATCGTCGCCTGATGGCAGATGCGTGAAATCTTATAGCACAAACACCGAAAACTGTTCGAAAATCGTCGCCTGATGGCAGATGCGTGAAATCTTATTACACACTGAGTGCTAAGAATTACTACACACCCAGACTCGTCACCAATTCTAAATGCTAAGAGCCTGAGAGCCTACTGCAGAGTAGTAGAGTACAGACTGTAAAGACTAAGTACTACACACACGAAGACTTCCGTTGGGTCAACGCCTTTGTCTGCTCCCGTTGACCGTAAGTACGTCCATGCGTACTGCGCAGCCATGCACGACGCTTTACGTACAACCTGCATGGGCGACTTCGTGCGCGTGCTATGTCTCTAGTCCACGCACACTCTCCAGCGAGTAACGTGCATGGACTGTGTACGACGTACGTGCTATGCATCTACCCCACTCGCTGGGCATCTAGTCCACACACTCCCCAACGAGTACCGACAGTTCGTCGGCGTGAACTAACATGCTATTTGCCTCTCCCACACCCGATCTAACGTCCATGAGACAGACTTCGAGTCAATCATCCATACTAAGCACGAAGTCCTTCGCTGTCCTTGGCTAGCTCTACTTGCAGGGACCATATGCAAATACTATGTCTCTAGTCCACACTTCAAGTTCAAGCGAGGCCTACGTCTCTAGTACACACAAGCGAGCAGCTAAGCAGTTGAAAGAGGAAAAACAAAGACAACAAAAGAAGGGGGACCAAGAAAAACACTTCTGTGAGCATGCCCTCAGAGAACCGTACCTAGTACCTCCTCTATCTCCTTGCCTCGTTGAGGAAAAGGTTAAAAGCAGCGTGCACACTTGCTGGAAGCCAAGCGCTCAAGTCCGCAACCCTAATACCAAGTAGAACCGCGTTACACAGCAGCTTGCAGTGACGGATGACGTTTGAAGTCTGAAAGACTGTGAACGTAAAGCGTTGACTACCTCGAAAGTCAAGCGTCGACTTATGTCGCTTGGTCAAAGTAGAACGAGTTACACAGCAGTTCGCAGCGACGGATAAGGTTTGAACGTGAAGCGTTGCCTTCCCCGGAGGTCAAGCGTTGACTTCTGTCACTTTGTCGAAGCACGTAATACAATGTTAAGGAAAAAAAAAACGAGTTACACAGCAGCTTGAGACGTTGGTGATAACGTTGGAAAGTAGAACGTAGACTTCCTCGAAAGTCAGGCGCTGGCTTTTACCGCTCGATCGAAGGCAGAGAACGGCGGCGGGTGGTGATTTCCGCCACCATATCGTCAAGTCAAAGTCAAGTGAAAGAGCGACTTAGTTGGCAGCTTGAGGCGCTTCCATCCAATCTTCGGCGACTTCCGTCATCTGTCTACTGTCCGTCTTCCCCCTTGTCCGTGCAGATATGGGTTGTTTCTCGTCCTTCACGCGGCCCACTTCCTCTCCCTCCCCTTCCTCCCCTTGTCTATCCACATCCATATCCGACTTCTCATCACGATCCTCTTGTTGTTCTTCGTGATGCTTTCCTCGGTGCCGAGACCTCCCGCGTCCGCCACTGCTTCTTCGTCCCTCTTCTTCACCAGAATCACCACCACTTCCTTCCTCTTCATCCAGTCGAAGGCCTCTGTCCTTCGGACGCGGAGGAGCCGGCTTCTCCAGGTGTGGAAACCTTATCCCCTTCTCCTTTGCAGCCTCCTCCCCCGACTTGCCTATCCGAGACAACCCACCCTTCCTCCCTCCTTCGATATTTCGCATATGCGCTTCCGCAAGCTTCTCTAACTCCTCACGCGGCAGTTGGTTCACGTCCATTTTTCTCTTCTCTCTCTCTCTCTCTCTCTCTCTCTCTCTCTCTCTCTCTCTCTCTCTCTCTCTCTCTCTCTCTCACACACACACACACACACACAAACAGGAAGGTCGTTCAACTTATTCCCGAGTTCTCTCTCTCTCTCTCTCTCTCTTAATCAGCTTATACAGTAACGTTCGTAAAGTGCACTGTTAACCTCGCATGGCCCCCGTGGTACGCAATAGGCGCAAACTACGCTCTCTCCAGCACCCGGCGGTCAACTTCTATTCCCCGGTATTCTGCTTCGGACGGCTGCTCATAGATTGACATGCCCAACGAGGAACTCGCACACGTGGTGATCCGCAGTCTTTGGCACTACCAATGACGACGAGGTGCAACTGTCAGTAGAGTAATTACACGAGTGATTATCATTCATATTATAACATCGGTGACAGTTGGTGGATCGCTGTCGGCCCGTGATTCCACTACCGGACGGTCACCTTGGATTACTACTCCTTGCCGTCGATCCGATTACGCATATCGGCGGCCTTAAATCTCTCATTCCCCGCGTTTGGCCTCAACGAAGGGCGGGAGCGCATTCGGCCTAACCTCGGTCGGTCGGGAAACAAGGATGGGTGAGCATCCGTGGAACGTGGATGAGCTGATGCACAAGTGCATTGTCCGCATCTGGACGTCACGGGTGGCGAGGTGCTTGCAGACCGGACTACCGAAGGTAGTTCTGAAGCTGTTCGGGCCGCTTTCGTACTCTTCTGAAGCTCTTCGGACTACCAACGTCGCGGAGGTTGAGCGCTCACCAAGGATTGAGCAAGCTGCCCCATATCAACGATGTGGCCAAGGGGTTCAACCACCTGTGAACCAGGGTCGGTGCAGTCTGCTCCCTCGCAACCTGTGGACTCTGCGACTGTGGCTGATCACTGGCCTCCTCCGGCGCAGCAGACGACATACTGTGCTTCGCCTACTCATGAAATATCTGCAGATAGCGCTTCCATTGGCGCTCCAACCTTGCAGACCCCCGTGCATCGGCCTGCGCAAGCTTCTCAGTTGTCTGATGTGGATCAGAGACTCAACAATCTGGAGGCAGGGGCTCAAGACCCCTTCGTTGTTTTTCCTTTGCTGTTGCCCTGGGTTGATGCCATCTTGATGGTGAGCTCCGTTTGGCGAATGATACTAATATGGGGGTATACCTTTTGTTGCCTTCCAGCAAGATCCTGTGATTCAGCAGGTTCAGCAGGCTGACCAGGAGGTGCTCAAAATGGTTGAGTTCTTCGTGTAGAGCTCGGAGATGGCCACAGGTTCCTTGGATCAGGATCCCGAAGATTGTTTTTTTTTTCTTCTTTTTTTTTTTTCTTCAGGATCCCGAAGATTGTGGGTGAAGGTAAGGAATGGTCCGTTGGAGCAGGCTGACCAGGAGGTGCTCAAAATGGTTGGCTTCTTCGTGTGAAGCTCAGAGATGACCACGGGTTGGTTCTCTGCGAGGTCCAGGTCAGAGGGTCTTATGTCTCACCTGTCTCTTTCCCCAACGCAAACTGGATTCATGTGTGACTTCTGGCTAATCCGGGCCTAGGTCCCACTTGGGTCCAGTAGTCGTTTCCAGCCGTTGATCTTCAGCATGGATGGTCGGAAATCAAGAATTTAGGTAAATGGGGTATGGCCCTCAGAAGGCACCACCCCTAAAACAGTCTGGTTTCAAGTGGTGTGGACTGCAGCCATTTTGCAAGAAATGACAGTAAAAATACCCCTGATTCTGGTTTGTTTTCTGCTGGTTTTGCTGAACTGTCTGCGCAGGTTTGGTCTGACTCTAAGACTTCGTCTTTTGGGCCTGCTTTCTGTTTGTGACACTTTTGATCGATTCTCTTCTCCTATCCTCCCAGAGCAATGGATTCATTCCACATAGAGTCTTGGAATGTCTGAGGCCCCGGGTCTACAAAAGTTGCACACAAATATTCCGTTGACAGGCATTTCGTTAAAATTGACATTTTTTACTATTTTCACAAGATTGGTCTTCCCCCCCCCAAAAAAGTATATTTTAGCATTTTTTGGTGCGGACCACATCAGACCATTAATGGTCCGCCGTCCATTCCTTTGGGTGGTGATTTCCTAGGTAAGAAACGAACGTCGGTCGACTAGGTCGGCCTCAACCATGTGTGAAACCCACAAAATAATCCTAGCCCCTTCACAACTCTCTGAAGACAAAACAAATAAACTCAATACTCCTTATATTCAATCATACAAGCTCAATTCGGGCCTCGTCGGGGAGAATGTCAAACCGACGCGGAAACCAACCCTGATCAGTTTTTGACTTGATGAGGTGATTTGCCAAAGTTATTTTTCCCAACCTACGTGACTGAAGAGACCTTTATACCGCCGCTTCCGAGGCGGAAGCCCGCTCTTTACGAAACGATTATGAAAAGAACAGCCTAACACTTGATGTATTGGTAGATCCGCCGACACACCTACCAAACCTTGCCATGAATGACTTCTGCAAGTAAATTTCACTGCTACCATGCTGATCAAAGTGGTATTTAACTTTTAACATAAGTTTGGATCCTCGGTGCGACCTGTTTTCAACAACCTATGTAGCCTGCCCGAGGTAAGGGTTGGCTAAAAGTTTTGTTGGTTGCTTTGTCCTCCTGACAATAATTACTCTTTCAACTCTCTTCAATGATGAAGTATCCACTTTTATCATAAGGATACTCAAAGCCAAGCCGCAGTCGTTGTCAGTGCGCAAAGAGAACCATCGCCTTCATTGTCGACACACTCTCCTTCTCACAACTCCAGAATGTTATCGCATGATGTGAGATGGCTAATTATCAATGTATGATGATTAAATTCAAATTTGTACTTCATTTCTTCCTCTTTGCTCTCTATTTTGATCGTACTGCCTCCGTGCGATCCGAAGAAATGACATCTTCTTGTGCAAAGGAAGCATCCTTGTCACGTCAGTGTTGCGACTGCCTAAAACATACCCAAGCAATTGCCATTCGCCCTACTTTTTGTTCATAGCCGACTTCCACCCCCCCTGGTGGAATATTTTTTGCCTCAATCAATTCGTGCTTAGCATACATTCTACTACACGTGCAATTATTCCTCAATGCCAAAGTATGATTGTGAGATCATCAGGGCAATCCGAATACTATCCATTCGATGAGACCTACATAAGATTTTTTTTATTTTATTTTTTTTACATGACTATTTTCAAAGTCGCGGCTGCCTAAGCTTAAGGGTAACCTACAACCATGGCTCACATGGTCGTTCCCCCGTTGCACCACACTCTATTTAAGCACGCCTCCGTCGAAGCCAGGAAAAATTCCTATTGACGGTCAACACCTCAAGGGACTGTACCGCAACGCACACTACTCGGTCTTAAGCGTCCCTAATAATAAAAATTTTAAAGTGGTCACTTCTAAAAGTTTGTAGTAGCGACTGTCAAGCCAGACACCGGTCTCGTCAAGCCACCTCCGTACGTGCGTACGCGCCACAAACGAACATCCCGACCGAAAAAAAAAAAAAATTTAGTCCTTAATTAAATCAAATCAAAGGTTGACTGGCAATTGTGTCGGCTCTATATTATCTATCAATAAGAAAAGATCACGCGCGCCTCAAAACTGCGCGCCCAGACACTCCCTATTCCTTTCAAACGGTCTCACACTCCTAATCATAGAAAGAAACCCGGTCATGGTTTACACTCCTAATCATAGAAAGAAATCCGGTCGCGGCTCACACAACATTCTCAATTTTAAACTCAAGATCATTTTCTGTCACTTACAAAAAATCAGGACAGATACCCTTGTAAGGATTTTCGCGTCGAAAAGTTACCGGACCACATTAAGTGACGTCCCCGTCGCTCCAAAAAATTGAAAACTATCAATTACACCAATACTTCAAATGCTGACAAAAAAATATCTAATCCGATCAGCCGAATAACTTCGTTTTGAGGATTATATCGATCAATGTCTGACACGACTATTTTGCTGTCAGGATTTCAACCTGGGTCTCGCTTGTCCAGGCGTCGGAGTCCGGGATACTCGATATGTACGACAACAAAGAGTTCACACGGTTATAAAACTTCCGATAGTTCTCTCCCTTCGTCCTAGACAACTGTCAGTTCATCGTTGGGTGTCTTATTTACACATTGTCCCACGTACAGGGTCATAACTTAGGACGTGGACCCTCACCGGTACCTTTATAAGGCACTCTCGCCTTTTTCAAAAAATATCAACAAAAATATCAACTTTAATCACAGACCCCCCTCTAAAATCTAGTACAGGAGAGTCAGGTCTCCATCTTAGCCTACCATAGCCTGATTGATCAAACGAAATCTACAGTTTGCTGCGTTGTTATTTTAGCGGTGGTGCCCTCGTTGGTTACGCAACGATAGGCGTCTTCTTTCGATAATTTTTTTATCAAAATTCGGACAAACAGACTCGACTTTTATCCCTCCAACATCCCCGGGAGGAAAACTATCAGGGGCAGCCACACCTCTCAAGCCTTTTCCTTTGGTGAGACATAGGTTCGCTACCAGGTTGTGTTGATCAGCTGTCAACACTCGGGGTTTCGCCCCAGTGATGTCAGATTAACCTCTAATTGGGATTCACATATATGTCTTAAGATTAGCATCATAGTGGTTAAGCAGTGTGTCGCAATAAACTGGGGCCTACTGCGGGACTACGCAGAGATTTAAACCAAATACATTTACCAGCTCCCTATGGGACAGCATAAAGGGCATAGCGTCCTTTCAAAAAAAAAAGTAGAATTCACCGCCCGATTCACAGGGTCGTGACCTCCCACTTGATCATAGGAAGGTACGTCATAGATCTTAAAACCATCTCTCAAATTTCACCATATTTGCAACATTTCAAAATTCTACCAATAAATAACAATTTTTTTTGTCCTTCTCGTTAGAGTTTATCAATCAAATTGTTTTTCATGTCATTTTTAAAATTTTTAACCACCTTCCACTTGAAGAGGAGTCACTCTAAAAATCTCATAACCACCTCCCACTTTGAAGGGGAATTAATCATAGAATCACATAATAATGGGGGTCCAACTTATGGGTCTTCGTCACAACTCAAGAAAAATAAGACATTCGTCACGGATCAGCTTTAAACCCCACTATTACATAGATATCTTATGATTTTTACATTATTTCACCAATCA